ACCTCCTGTGTTGTAGGAGAAAACATATGCCGTATTTTATATGAAACGCACTAATTATGCAACATATTATATACCTACTTAATAGATACTATGCATGCAACTGTATAGATACAACAAATATATGCTATATGTACGACATTATATACACACTACTTACTGTTTTCTATTTCTGTTACATTTCAACAACTGTAGTTGATGTGACAACCTCTCTGTCATAGCATTCTAACTCTTATATTACATTGCTACTTTTAAAGAAATACCTCATAACTGTCTAACTCTGATCTTTGGTTATTGCTCATTTAAATACGCTTTTATGCAGATATTTGGATCATAACTCAGCAAACCAAAGGCTAAAAGATCAGTTCTTCGATACTTCAGTAGTCTATTCCTGCTCTAAATTTCTTTGAGTTTATTCTGTTTTTGGAAAGGCACAACCCTGGGAAGACTAGGCTAAATCTTGGAAAAAGCATAAAAAAGGGTATATTGGCATAGAAATTCTTTTGTATTGTTTTTCTTCTGACAGGTAAGATGAACACTGTGAGTTCAGATACATCAGCACTGTGTCAAGGTTGATGTGTGAGCTCTTCCTTGACTGCTGATGGAGTGGTAGTCTGCTAATCAAAGTTTTGTCTTTGGGAATTCACAGATATTTTCCATCTCTATTTTATCTGTGTATTTTATTGATATTACTCACTTATTGGTAAAGTATATGTTTTATTGGAGCTTTATTTAAATAGAGGTTAACAACATTATTTTATTTAAGCTTTGTAAATTGTCATGCATTTCAAAGTTCAAAATTGCATTTTTGGAATACATGGTTTTGAACTTTTGCATTAGGAAAGTATAATGTATGTATTGTAAGAGTAATGTATTACTCTTATAATAGTAACCTAGCAAGACTTGGATTTATTTTTTACAGATTATCTGCTCCTGAGTTAATATTATGTTTTTATTTTTTGTGCGTATGCAAGGATATATGTTCATACAATGACTACATGTTTTAAAAAGATAAATTGGTTTGATTAATTTAAAGGCTGAATGTGCATCTGGTGGCCACATACCCTTGTAGCTACTGTTCTCTTGCAAAAATTGTCCTAGATTAATGAACATAAAAATGATATCATGAAATTAAAAATTAGCCAGAGAATTACAGAGTGTTATTAATACGTTAATAAAACATTATTAGATGTCAGTGAAGGAAAACTAATGTACTTCAGTTGACAGAAACCCAAACTGAAAGTCATTTTATGAGTTTTTACTGTGTTATAAATGTTGATTTAAATCATTACTTTATCTTGTAAAAGAATGCACAATATATTTCATGTAACAAGGAGAAAAACCTTTAGTGAACTGCAAGTGAAATGATTTAATTAGATTGTTTATGAGGGATTTATTGCTTTTTGCTTATGTTTACATCCAGCCAGTTTGGTCAAATGTATCACATCCTTTTCATTATAAGAGGGCAACACTTATCAGTCAAGTATCAGTGCAGTAATTTCTTTGATGTGGTGCCTTTAAAAAGTATTATATAGTTGCCAGCATCTCTCAGTGGAATCCAGCAGGTGCTTAGTTAAGATCAGGTGTAGGCCAGCAGTATAACAGATTTCTCCTGTCATCGGGCTAGGGATCACTGCCAACTATTTTGGCCTGAGTGGGACCTGGGGAGGGGAAAGATTCTTTATTTATTGCAAGCTATTTGAGACCGCGTTGCAAATCTGAGGTACCACTTCAGGTACTGAGGTACCAATACCTTTCATTAAGGGGGAGACTGTATCAAATTAGCATGTGCTTTTTTTTTTTTTTTTTTTTTTTTTTTTTTTTTTTTTGTCTAAGAGTGACTTCAGGTTGTCAGATGAAGACTCTGGAACCTTGACCATTTTGTTTGTTTGTCACCTGATAGTCAGTGAGAATTGGCAAATGATTTGGTTTCCTTTTTTCCCCCCCTTTCCTTTTTTTTTTTTTTAATATTAAATGCTCCTTTTACTAAGGGGCTTCCTCAATAAGAAACCACATCCTTACCATTTAGTTTTAATACAAGCCGTCCTTATTTAATAGCTGCCCTCGTTTAGTGGCCAGACCTTTATCATTTGTCTTTACTGTGAAAGCCCCAGGAGAAAGTAAACTTAATAGAAGCTGCCCCAGTTTAAAGCCATAGAGGGACGTAATTAAGTTTAACAGAAATTGATTTAACAGAAATTGACCTAAAATATAATTAAATAATAATAGTCATATTATGTGAGCATTTGTGCACCTTAATAGACTGCTTATCCTAACTTAAGATACTGTTTTTGTATGAATTGAAGATATATTTATTTTAACTTGCTGACTCGCTGAAGAGGGGGTGGGTTTTCCTCTGCATGCCTGATAATTTCTACGCCTGCAGAAACAATAGGTTTTGATGCTTGCTGTTGTCCCTAGTAGAGTTCCTGTACATAAGTTGGGAAGTTTTTCATACAAATTCTTGACGTATGGTAAAAGAATGAATTTGAACACAGAATTCTAGCTAGGCAAGGGCATACTTAGATTTTTCTTGTCATTTGTCAATTTAACTTCAGTGTAACTGTGCAATGGGCTCCTTATCCCTGAATTTTTTTTTTCCTAGAAGATTCAGGAGGTTTTAAACCAACCGAGTTGGTAGCATTTTCCATAATCTTGCAATGTAGATTTTAGTAGTGTAACTTAATCTATAACATCCATTAGTTTTTAAATAAACACCAATGAATACAATATTCTATCTGAATTAAGTAAATTGAGTGGTTTCATATGTAAATGCATGCTTTAAATTTAGTTCTATTACTTCTTGCTTAAGTTAGTGTATTTCATTCTAAAGGAAAATACCTTGTTTAGAAACATTTTTAGAGCTACATTGAACATCTCTAAGAATTAGCAAAATGGTTACAAGTTTCCCCTTGCCAAAAGCAATTAGCATAGGCTATACCTTCACATGATGCATTAGAATTTTGTTTTATGTGAAGCAATTTTCAATCCATGATAAGTAAATGGACATCATTTGACATAAATTAGCATGCTGGTGTCATTATATCAGAAGAATTTACACATGATGACAGTTGCCCAACTGTGTGATTAACTTACAATTCTTTGACCAAGGTTCTCTACACAGTGGCCTTTAAACTACAGTAAAGCAACCTTGCTATACATGTCAGGTGTGCACCTGGAGATAAGATTTTTGGATGTAATTTATATTGCTCTACAGTGCCCCATTTACCGTGGAATGGCAACATTTACATTTTTCCCTAGGCACTGAACTCAATACAGTCACAGTCTCAGAAAAACGAACAAAGCAGAGGCAAAGTGGCTTTAAGTTCTTGTGTAAGCAAGGCAGGCAGTTTAATTTTCTTTGTTATTGAATAAACACTGATTTCTTAATGTAGCTAGCTTGAAGACCTTATTTTGGACTTAGAAAGCATCATGATGTGTGTAAACAATGCTATGATCATTAACGATGAATTTCACATAATTTTAGGATTGAAACACCAAGTTTTCCTTTCATTTTTTTGTTTGCTTTAATGGTAAAAAGGCCTTCAGAGTGGCCCTCGAGTGTGTGACTTTCATCCAAATCCGACTAGCTGTTTTATCTGCAAACTTAGTTTCAAAATGTTCATTAAATCTTTTTGGTCTTCAAGTAAGGTCATGGTTAATACAAAGGCAGATGATATAAATCACTTCGTTGGCAATTCAGTGAAATTCTGTATTCACAAATCTTTTGTTCAGCCTAATTTGTATAATCTTAATGAACATAGAGTGTATTACACACTGCTGGTGATCTAGTAGTCCA